GAAAGGAGGCAAGGGAACATGAGGGTGTAATAACTATAACTAGATCCAAATAAATTGAGACAGAACAACTAGAAGAAGCCCCTATGGAGCTGAGAAGCTTAATAAAAATAATTTATGCAAGAAATAAGGAACAAAATTAGAGTCCTTAAAGAATATTTTGGAAAGGAGAAATAATGGCTTAATATAGAAAGTCAAAGATTGTCTATTACAATCTTGCAATAGACCCTCAAAGAAAGAAAGGTAGGAAGAATGAAAAATGCAGTGTTCAATGAAAGATGTTAGAACTAATATTAGGACAAAATCACAGGAAAACAAAATTTTGAGAACACTGTATTCTATGGATGAAGGGATAACATGGACTGAAAAAGTAAATACAAAAAAATGTACAGAGTAAATATAGAGTAAATTGAGAGTGTGAGCACTAATGCCTTGGTGAATCAAGAAAATCTCTCTTTAGAAGTTAGCACTTGAGCTGAGCCCTGAAAGGAGACAGAAGTCCCTTATAAAAAGCTGAGGCCAGTAGGGACAGAGTTCCAAAATGGGACAGTCTGTGCAAAGACTTGGAGATAAGAAATGGAATGCCAATTTGGATGAAATGTAGACTATGTGAGAAGCAAAAGGTCTGAAATATAGGTAAATGAAACTAGACTATAAAGGGATTCAAATGTCAAACAAAAGTTTGTATTTTATGCTAGAGGCAACTGGAGACCACTGGAGCTTCTAGAACACAGGAGTAATATAGTCAGGCCTGTTTTTTAGGATATAAGTCATGAACAAATCCATATAGCAGTAGTAAACTAAATAGATAAATCAATGGTTATGTGCTACAAGAAGGAGTAAAATTATGTATCTTTGAGAAGGCTCCCTTTATCTGACAGTCACTGAAGGAGTAATGAGAAAATATTTATGAGTGAAGCCCATGAAGGGGGATCCAATGATATTATCTTAGAGAAAGGATGGAGTAAGAGGAGTTGAAGTCTTATTTCTTGGAAAGGTGCAACTTAGCTGGAAAAAAAATGTCATTCTAAGAGTTCAAGTTAATGGAGGGTGAAAAGGCCAGATTCTGAGACAGGAGTTACATATTAATGATCACAGGTCTTTCATGGAAAAAAAATAAATTTAAAAGTTTGAACACTATACCGCAAGCCAAAATATAGGAAAACACACCAGTAGTATTGCAAAAAAAAATACAGATTGGTCGGAGCAACAAATTACCTATAGGAGCCTTTTCTTGAGTTCAAATTTGACCTCAGACACTTACTACCTGTGTGACCCAGGCCAAGTCACTTAAACCTGTTTGCCTCAGTTTCCTCATCTGTAAAATGAACTAGAGAGGAAATGGCAAACCACTCCAGTATCTCTGCCAAGAAAACCCCAAATGGGGTCATGGAGAGTCAGACACAACTGAAAAGTGACTGAACAAAAAATAAATGTTTGCTAAATTGAAATGATTTAAATTTAAATTAATATTTCAAAGCACCAATCATCAAAATGATGTAATATTTGTTTAAAAAGAGAAAAGTAGAACAGTGTAACAAAATATAATAAAAATAGGCACTTTATATATGTATGTACATATATATATGTAGATTTACACATACATATGTGATATATACATGTGTGTATATATACATGTGGGAGGGAGATATGCAATGTATCTATAAGATATGACATATAATATATACATATTTATACACAGATACACACATATGTGTATATATCATATATATAAAAAGCTTTGCAGACCTTATGAAATGGTGATTATAGTGGCACTCATCTGACAGGGTGGCTGTTGAGGATTAAATTAATTCAAATCCCACTGCAAACTTAAAAACATTATATAAATACTAATTGTTATTATGATTGTATACTTAACTCATCATTTCATCATTTTGAATGTTGTTTCTGTGGTTAATTCTTCCCCGACACATATTGTGATCACTCTTTAGGTCATCTTTCAGAGTTGCTATGGCCAAACACGCCATCACCCTTCCACCAATCTGGAGGTGAAGTTTTTCAAATAACTATATTGGACATTAGACGACCAACAACCATTAGAATGGTGCTCAAAATTTCTCCAGTTTGATTACAAATTTATAGCTGGAAGGGATATTAGAAATGATTGAGTCTAACCGCATTTTAGATAATATTCATAAAGCACTTAGCACAGTGCCTGACACATAGTATGAACTATTCAAATGTTTGCTGGTGAGGAAGCAGAAGCACAGAGAGTTTATATGAATTATTCAGGCTCATGCAACTTAGTGTCTGAGGCAAGATTTGAATTCAGGTCTCCCTGATTCCAAGGCCAATGCTCTATACACTATATTTCTCTACCTGTTTAATTTAATCACATCTTTCTAAGCTTAAACTCTACTGCAGAATCTCTATGTTAAAACATCAGCATCCACATTGAGCAGAGTTTTATATTATATGCACACACATATAGAACATTAGTATGATATTGCCCTAAGCAGTCCCACTCTTCTAATCTTAAATATTCATGCCTAAAATATCCTGTGCTTGCCATACTATTCAAACAAACAACATCCAAAAATGGTTCATGATCCTAGCAAATAGCCAGGGGAGGAAGTAACCAGTTCTATGAGGACATGCCCACACTTTCAAATGACAATGGAAACCTCATAAAGATGACCAAAAGAGATCCTGGTAAAACATTTTAAAAAATTTAGAGTACCTTATAAAAGTAGAATGAGGTCTACATCATCATCTGAATTTGAAAAGTACCGCATTATTTTTAGACTCTTGCCTTTACCTTAGACTTAAATTATAGATTTTTCTTGTCCACTAGAATGAAAACATCAGTTAAAATTAAGGAGATGCTGATTCACTTAAATATGTAGTGTCCTCATTATGAATTAAATATTTTCCCCAGCTTCTTGCTTCACATCATTTCCCATATTTTGTCACACTAATAAGTTATGTTCAACGTATCTGAATTAATTAACGAAAGAAATGTGCAGTGGAGCGAAATGAATCTTTAAGCCTTGGCCTGACTATTTACAAATTTTGAAAATTCTAATACAAATATGCAAATGTGAGGTGAAAGAAATGTGAGGGAATATGTTTTGAAAAATCTGATATTCCAATACATTTTGAAAGTTGAGTCTTTCTGAAACTTGAAACATTTTTTAACCATGTTTCAGTGATTTTCTAGAGATTGCTAGTCTAGTTAGATCAGATGTTAAGATGTTGTGTGGCTTCTCAGAGGCCTTTCTAATGATACAATTTCTATTTTCTCCCTCTCTAACTTGAGACAAATATCTTTGGAATGAGAAAACCACCTAGTAGCATGGATTCTATTGCTATGGAAACAATAAGTCAAGAAGCTCTTCAAGAGGAACACCTTTGAGTTGAGGATAGAAAGAGGCAGACCACCAGAGGGGTGGTCAAAGGATCTCTAAAAAGTTCATAGATATTAGGGTAGTTATATACCATATTCTAGCCCTATACTTCCTGGCTTCTTTAAATAATATATAACATTTATGTAGTTCTTTATTGTTTGCAAATAGCTGTACAAATATCATCTTATTTGATCCTCACAGCAATCCTGGGGAGCAAATACTAGTATTATACCTATTTTACAGCTAAGTAAACAGGGAAGAGAGTTTTAGTGAGTTGTCTGCGGTCACGTATCTAGTAAGTGTCTGAGGAAATATTTGAACTCAGGTTTTCCTGACCTCTGGGCAACTAAGTGGCACAGTGGATAGAGTGCCAGGCCTGAAGTCAGGAAAACTCATCTTCTTGAGTTCAAATCTGGCCTCAGACATTTAGTACCTGTGTGCCCTTGAGCAAGTCATTTAACCCTGTTTGCCTCAGTTCCTTCATCTGTAGGAACTGGAGAAGGAAAAAGCAAACCACTACAGTATCTTTGCCAAAAAAATCCTAAATACAGTCATGAAGAGTCAGACATGATTGAAAAACAACAACTTCTTGATCCTAGGTCCAACACTCTTTCAACACCTCACTGCCATTGTTGGTTGTACAACACACTTCTTCCCCTCATGAAAGAATTAAACAGGCACTTTAGGTAACAGAGAATAACAAGTAGCAATCTCAGCTCAGGAAACCACTGGAAGTTTCCCATGACATATGGGGGAATTCCTGGATGTCCTTGGCAGCAAGCACAGACAATACCTGTGATAGACACATCGCTCTGACTGGTCTAACTCGGCTTCAGACTGTCAACAGGCAAACATGTGGCAAGAGAAGAATGAGAAATGTCCCCAATGACAATAGCAGAAGGAGCATGAGCAAGCAGTACTCAATATTAACATTTCACACAAATGCAAGTGACAGGTGGTTCAGGAGGGATCTGAGGATTTGGCCCACCAGAAAGTCACCCAGGAACATCAGGGTACAGCAGGTAGAAAATCTGGCAAACAATAAAAAGTAACTGAAAGTTTTGTTGGTTTTTGTTTTAATTTGATTTGTTGTTTGTTGTTTTAATTTTTAAACAATCAGTGTGGGTCATTAGACACACTATTGATACATATGTTATGCCAAATATTTTATGGTATTTAACTGCTAATAGAAGCCCAGATGATAAAATGTAGAAACACCAAATTCACAGAGTCTATAGACTATGATAGGGACTGATGGACCTAGTGCTGGAAAACACCTTAGAGTTCACTTAGTATAACCCCGTTATTTTCCATATAAGTTAACTGAAACCTGGAAAGATGAATTGTCTTGTTCAAGATAACAAGGTAGTCAATTTCAGAAGCTGGTGGTAGAGAAAAGTTGGGGAGGATAATAACTTCTTAATTTCTTGACCTTTCCTTCTCTTCCATGGTTGCTATCCATACCATAATAGGAGAGAACAACATCTTTTAAAGAAGTTATTGATTGTAAAAGTCCAAGAGAAGAAATGAAAGAATAATGAATTATTCTTCTTTCTTTATCAACTTCTTCCCTCATTCCTCAATTAAAAAAAAATCCAATCTAATTTTATTTGTTTGTTTTTTTTCTATCCACAGAGAGTGAAGAAGTTTACCAAAGGCAGGTGCTTTCAATTTCCTGTATCATCTTTGGTATCATCATTGTGGGCATGCTCTGTGCTGCATTTTACTTCAAAAGCAAGTAAGATACTTTATGTCTTGTATCATAAAGTCATTTCTCAGGGTAGGCTCTTAACATTTCTGTTTCACAGCTCATGTTAAAAACAGGAGCATCCCCTGGGAGGCACTAGACCAGCTGGTTTGACAGGAGAATCTTTTCTCATCAAATCTCAATGCTTTGGCCTAAAACTTTAAAATGACTAATGAATTTAGGAATGTTGGTTATAGGCCTATCTTTTCTTATCAGCAATAAGACAGATGCCATTATGCTCCAAAGATCAAGAATCATTCCTATGTTACTTTCATCTGTTAAGGGTCTATATGCATGTTTAGTATCTTTTCTATCAGGATATAAATAACCTTTGTGAAAATGGGAGATTACTGCTGAAACACACAGGGCACCATCCCATTCAATCAAGAGCATGAAATTTCACTTTAACAGGAAAAAATGTTTTCCATATCCTCACTTTTCGTGATGCAGAGAATAGGTTCAATAAATTAACAGGTAATCCTACTAAAAAGATTATATATAAAAGTAGGCAGATCATTTAACATTCATGTCAATATAGATAACTCAACTCAGAAAATCTGTTTTTTGAGGTCTACATGTAATTAGAGAAGGGAAAAGTGGGCGCTTTCCAAATAAGCATACATCTTTGATTGAGGTGGGTCAGTCATGCTCAAAGAGAAAATACATTTGGATCCACTTAAAATAGCGAAAAGTCCGGCTCTTTTTGAAAGGGGTCTATTAAGGCTGGAAATTTTGAAGTGTCCCTATCCTCCACTTCTTACAAGTACAGTATAAGCAGTATACACAGTATAAATACAGTAAGCACTGGAGCCAATTAAAAGTCATTTGTGGTACATAAAGGTGTTGCGGAATCAACCTTGAGCTATTTTGAGAAAACAGAATGAGTTGCTACTTAGTGTGCTTCTCAGAAACCCGAGGATTAGAGATTATAAATGGATCTAAACATTCAACATGTTGTTTGCAAACTGGTAAAGTTTTAAATACAGACAATCACATAGAGTGTCTGCATATACACACATGTATAGGTACATATACAGCCACACATAGATTATGTATATGTATGTACATGTTTACACATGTATGTCTATATGTATATACATGTACATGTGCATAATGCATACATGCATATGAGAGGCAATAATGTAATGCACAAAGAACTGATTGGCATCAAATTCAAGAATACTTGGTTTTAATTTCAACCTTCAAAACTTATCTGAGCAAATCATTTAACTTCTCTGACCTTCAGTTTCCTTATTATTAACCCTCTGATTATTAGCATGAACTAGGCTATATAATAGATAGACCCTATATTCACCAAAGATATTTGCCATTATCATGTAAGATGTCCAGTGCAAAGTTGAAATGGAGGAGAGACATTCCTTATAGAAAAATCAGTCAGTCAGTCATCATTTTTCAAGTACCTAGTAGATGCCAGGCACTACAGGCAGAAGGAAAAAAAAAGAGTCCCTGCCTTCTAAGAGCATATATCCTGTTAGGAAGAGAAAAAAGGCACACACATGTTATATATATATATTTAATATAAATATATATGAAAAAGGTACACATACAAATATATATATGGAAATTTAAGGGGGAGTGCACTAGCAGTTTAAGGAGGCATTTAAACTGAAGAAAAAGAGGGAGGAGTGGAGAACACCTGGATAAATAAAGGATTTCAGACTCTCAGAGCTTTCAATCTATCATTTCCTGGGGGAGTGAGTGGGCACAGAGATGAACAATAGCTCTTCAAAGTCTCAGGCTGGGTTGCAGTTAGTGTATAAATATGAACATATCAATAAATATCAGTGTGACTCAGAAAAGATTACAAGGTTGATGTGAAAACAAAGCTTATACAAAGGTATGGAGATGTGAGATGAAATGCAGAAATCCCCCAGATACATTTGTTTGTAGACAGTGGCAAAAAGTCTTATATCATTCCAAACTTCTTCAGTAAGGTCTAACCTCCTCAAAATCATTTGCCCATCAGTAAAAACTGAATGGTCAAAAAATTCCTATTATACAGACTGTGAGAAGCCATTGAATGGACAAAACATGCATCTGGCCTATCCGTTTATTTTACACAGACCAATGAATGGGCAATGAGCTTGCCCCAGAATGGAATAGAAAGAGGAGAGCAGGCTGGATTTCTTTAGGATATTGACCAGAGTTTTGTATGACTCCAAGCTTCACCCTGAAACAAAAGGCTACCGTTTTGTAAACAATATTCTTATAGTAATGCTGTATGTCTCCAAGTCATGAGCTACCACCTTCTATGAAGAATTGAAGTTAAGGGTCATCTGAAGGGCAAAGAAGAATGGCAGGGTGGAAGTAGGTGAGTAGGAACATATTGCTAATGAAGAATTGTCCTAGAGAAGTAAGATAAAAGACATCATCATAGAGAAGTGTAACAAGAAAGGAAGGTGATTTAGTCACATATCAAAAATTCAAAACAACTGATGGGAAGCCCAAGGGGATTTATTGCTCCATGTAAAATATTAAGATACCTAGCCCTATGGATGATTTGGGAAAGGATATGGTCAAGAGTCTCAGAAAGCATGAGATGGCATGAATGGGTGGTACCCTCCATTGTTGGAGGGAGTACCCACGTTGGGATCTACATACTGAAGGGACAAGTCATGAGGCCGTCGTGAGCATCCAATGAATTAATGAATATAAAATACCTTGTAAACCTGAAAGGGTTAGTTATGTAGCAATTGATAATATGTACATACATGTATATGACATTAAAGGGTAATAACAAACATATTTTATAATAAAATTGAAACTCAGAATACAAAACTCAATCAATCCATAACTGCTGATTCTAGGTATTAGAGACAGCTGTGGAAAAGTTGAGAGCTTCATGAGAGGGCCTGCAGAACTCGGTGAGCTCAGTTTACTCTCTGTCTCATTGGGACTGTGTCCCACCTCTGTCTCCCACCAATTTGGGAGAGGAGAACATTCACCATGGCAGCAGCAGGATTCAGATATCAACTACCATCAAGGCAGCAGAAGGGTCTCTTCATAAGTGCTGTGTATGGGGAAGAAATTGTGTATTTAACAATAAGCAAATTACTTTGAAGAAGTAGTTAATCACTTATTTTTAGAGTATAATTTGTAGTTGCACCACATTTAAACTAAAAACTGATTATGGTAATCAGGAGAAATGGAGAACAGCTGGATAAATAGAGGATTTCAGTCTTTTAGAGCTGTCAATCTCTCACTTCCTTGGGCAATGAGTGGGCACAGAGATGAACAATAACCCTCCACAGGCTCAGGCTGGGTTGGACTTGGTGTATAAACATGAAAACATCTATAAATATCAGTGTCATTAACAGAGGCTCCAAAGGACCAAAGGCAAAGGGGGAGCAGTGACCCAGAACTTGCCTGCCTTTCTGATTGACCAGCTGGAACCCAAGGAAGACCTTGGGGCACGGAGAGCTATTCCCTTTATGCCAGTCATGAGAGAAGGCCTACGTCCTGAAGAAGGCTTTTATGTTGCATTTTAGGGCTTTTTCCTTGTAAGTTTCCCTGTGTATGCATAAAAGTGAAAAGCAGGCTATGGTGTCAAAGAGAATAATAGTTGGAATGAGACATGAAATCTAAGGATTCTCAGCCTTTGTTTCAAACGACTTCATTTTTCTTGACCCATGATGTGTTTGAAATTTAGTCTTTAAAAATAGTTCTAAAATCCCCTTGCCCTGGAGAGGATGAAGAGGTTGATAATTATAAACCTTTTCCTCTAAGCAAAGGAATGGGTTTGTCTTATCTACATTTCCATTATATATTAAAAAACCCTCCCTACATGAGACCAAAATTTGGAGAAATCAGGACCAACGCCTGTATTCATTATTCATCACAGATTTGAAGAATAAACTGAAATATTTATATGGAGTTAAATATGAAAAATGGCTTCCTTTGCTGGATCATCTTCCAACTACGCCTTAAACCATAGTTATTCCTCAAAGTTAGGTCCTGGCCCTTCTTCTTTTCTCTTTCTGTACTACTTCACTTGGTAATCTCATCTGCTCTCATGAATTTCATTACTGTCTCCATGCTAATGATTCTCAGATCTACATATCCTTCTCCAAACTCTCTGATGACCACCAATCTCACATCTCCAACTACCTTTCAGCCATTTTTAACTGAATATTAAGTAGACATCTTGAACTCAATCTATCAAAAGCAGAGCCCATTCTCTTTTACCCTAAACCCTTCCCCCTCCACTTTCCCTATTGGTGTGGTAAGCAGCACTATCTTCTCAGACCTTCAGGTTCACAAGCTAGGAATTATCCTATGCTCCTCACTGTCCCTTATCCCTCCCCATCCCAATCCTTATTGCCAAGGCCTGTAGATTTTACCTTTGCAACATCTCTCAAATATGCCCCCATCTGTCCTCTGACACTACACAAGTGATTACACGTAGAAGTCAGACAGAGCAGGTGAGAGGTTCATATACTATATTCTTCTTTGTCATGGTTTAAATTCTAAATCTGTTGTGAAATAGTGGGAAGAGCTCTGGACATGGTGTCATGAGAACCAAATTCCATCTTGAACTTTGCCACTTGCCACCTGTTTTTTCTTGGGCAAATCTTTTTTTTACCATCCTAGGTCTCAATTTCCATATCTGTTAATTCTAGGGTTAGACCAGTTGTTCTTCTCAGTCAATTCAAATCTAAATCTCTCAATTCAATTCTAAATCTATGATCCCATGAGCTTAGTGTCTGATACATTTCAGATGCTTAATAAATGCTATCAATTGATTGTTGAGTGAATTTTAGTGTTGGAGAAGAGAAGGGATTAAGAAGTCTATGGGAGATCCTCAGAAGCAGAAAGAGAAGATACTAAGATAGCTGAGAAAGGGCTAGAGAAGATCCAGAATTTGATCTTGGGTGAGTGATCAATTTCCTCACTTACAAAATGAAGGGATTGAACAAGCCATCTTCTAAAGCCACTTGTAGCTCTCTATGTGTGATCCTAGAGATGAATGCTTTGTATGATGATAAAGACTACCAAGATGGTGACCATGATAACTACTTAACAGTAATATTTTAATCAAATGGGTAGGTATTGCATTGGTGCCCACATGCCTAATGCTAGTTAGGCTAGTGCTTCTGACTAATATGTTGGACCATGGTTTCTCAACACTATACTGATTGTCTGAATCACTGATCCTGTTGTAGCAGTGATAACCAATTTTGCAATGGACTTTTTAATGGAAATATAATAGATTTGTTTCTAACAATAGGCTACAGATTGGCTGTTGGGAAGTAGCTAGATTATTAAGACTAGATTAAAGCCAGCAAGAGGATAAAAGCTTCTCAGAGAATTGAAAAGATAAAAGGAATGTTTGAATGGGCACAACTGCATTCTATTCTCAGCATTTCATTGAACTTGTTTGATAAAGTCAAAGAATTCTATAATTCTCAGTGACCTCTAAATAAAACTACTGTAGCAACCAAAGGTCTCTTTGCTGTAAGTCACACAGAAAACATGAACTGTACTTTCATATTTCAGGTAAAAATGATTCATGTACAATAAGACAATAAATATTTCTTAAGCACTCACAGTGTGTCATGACCTTTGTCAAGCACTGGGGTTACAAAGACACAAAGACAACATCGCCTGCTTGTAAGGAACTTGCATTTTAATGGGGGTGATAGAAGTAATAAACAGTTAAGGAAATATAAAGAATATACAGGTAAATATATATTCATTTCAAGAGGGATATAAAGTTCTACTAACTGGGGGTTGAGGGGGAAGGGAGGAGAATCAAGAAGGCTTCCTATAGGAGGTGGCACCTGAGATAGGAAAGCAGCTTCTAGCTTAGGTTCATTTAGAACATAGCCCAGGTACAACCACTTACAGGAGGTGTTTTCCCCTTGAGGAGTGGTGCTGCCTGCCTAGACCCTCTATAGAAACACACCGCAGATGACATTAGAGGGGAAGTTATATTCCTTAAAACTTCTACAATTATCCTGGGGTGGTCTACAGCACAGATAATGTTTGCATTTCTGGTATATCAGAGTACTCTATAAACACTGATTAAGATGGCCAACAATGAGTGAGTCAGTCAAACATTTAATAAATATCTACTGTGTGCCAGTCACTTCTACACACTAGGGATAGAAAGAAAGGCAAAACAAATAAACAAACAAAACAAAAACAAGTAAACAAATAAAAGGAGCCCCAGCCCTCAAAGAGCTCACCATCTAGTCTGGGAGATAATAGGTAAACAACTATGCACAAACAAGCTATAAACCTGATAAATCAGAGGAAAAAAAAAAACTCAGCAGAATTAAGTACTAGAATTAAGGGACATTATGAAAGGATTTCTATAGAATGTGGAATTTTTGTTGGGACTTGAAAGAAGCAGGGAAGCCAGGAGGAAGAGTATTCTAGGCATGAGGAATAGACCAGGTAGGTCAGCATAACAAAAGGTAGAGGAACATCAAAAGACTTGTTCTATCTCCCCATTGAGGTCAATGAAATACCCAACAAGCAAAGAATGCAGATGCCACTCTTTTTTCTTTACAGAACTGGCCCTCCAGTGTGCATCAGGAGAGTTTCTCCCACTAGGACAACACACAGAATCCTTCCCTGCAGATTCTTATTACTGTTCTATTTCAGATTCCTTACACTAAATAACCCAGGGCTAAAACTTTTCAGCAATACACACAGGGTATGCGCCAAAAGTTAGTCAACAAGTATTTTTTCTGTACTTACTATATGCAAGGCATGATGCAAAGCATTGGAAGTACAAAGGCCAAACAACGACAACAACAAACAGCAACTACAAAAATCTAAAGCAAAGCTGGTCCCTGCTTTCAAGGCTTCACGTTTTAAAGGGAAGACAACATGCAAACAACTATGTACACCAAAGATATATACAGTCTAAATGGGACATAATGTCAGAGGAAAGACCCTTAGGGGACATACTAAGAAGTCCTCTTATAGAAGATGGGCTTTGGCACGAGTCTTGAAGGAAGTCAGAGAAGCCAGGAGGCTAAAAGCATTTAACTTTCATCCACCCACACAAACTCTACTTAAAAATGGCATATCTCCCCACTCCCCAGTATTTTCATAGATAATAGGAGGCTACAACTCAATTAGATTCATTGTGTATGGTTCCCTAGTGTGATAGGAATGATGTCTCCTCGGAAATTTAATATTGCTATCTTTAGAAAATCGTAAATGTCAGAGGTTATAAGAATGTTGTTTGTTCTGAGGAGCCAAAATTGTATGCATGTTGAATATCAATGAATATAAACAAATGCATATATATATATATATATTTTTTTTTTTCATTTCTACCTGCAGGAAACAAACTAAACAAATCCAGGGGCAGCTGAAAGAAATGCAGAGTGTTAAAAAGTACAGCCTCAATGCCTCCAGCATGATGGTCAAGTCAGAAAACATGGCACAGAGCAGAGGCCAGCAGCAAAATGTAAGTGATCTGGCCATGGATGCCCTGGAGCAATATGGCTGGACTCACTGAGCTGATGGGTGTTCCTGGTCCCTGCCTGAACTTGAACTTGAACTGTCTCAGAAGTACTGAATTTCTGTGTATGGGTGGATGGCTGTGCATCTTAAGGGTAAACTTGGGAGAAAAGGCAAGGGATTTTGGCTAAAGAAACAGAAACTACTTTTTGGATTTTAGCTGTGATAAATTGCAACTTCTAAACTGCTGAAATTTAGGAGTTGTAGACCACAGTGGAAATGAAACAGCTCTTTCCTTCAGGCGCATGGTGCACTGGAAGGAACAACACATTTACAGTTAGACAGGTTGGTTTCAAGTCCCAGCTCTGATACTTACTACGTGTGTGACATTGGCAATCATGTAAACTTTTGGTGCCAAGTTTCTTCATCTGTAAAATGATGGGGTTGGGCTCAATGACTTTAGAGATCCCTTCCAGCTCTGAATATATGATCCTAGCTGCTATTGGTATTTCTATTATTGGGATTGAAGGATGATTTTGTAAATGTGTTGAATGTACCAGATTTAAAATGCATAGTGGATGGAACACTGTGCTTAGAATCAGGAAGACCCAAGTTCAAATCCAAACTCAGACACAAGTTGTGTGACCCTGAGCAACTTACTTAACCTCTATGTGACTGAGTTTTATCAGCTACAAAATGGGGATAATAATAGCACCTCATTTGTAGGGTTATTTTGATGATCAAAATCAAAAGTAGATACTTGTAAACCAATAATTAAAACTCCATGGGATATTGGTAATAACTTGATAATCCTTCCTTCCTTCCTTCTTTTTTTCCTTCCTTCTTTAATGTTCACATTACGAAGACACAAATGCTGTGTAATTATTATGTATATATATGTCTATATGTCTATATATGCATATGTGCATATATATAACTCTGAGAAGATATATGTATGAATGCTATGTGAATATGTATGTACAAATATTTATACACACACACGTATATGTTCCCGAAAAGAACATTTCTTATTTGTTAAAGCTGAGAAGGCATCTTATCAAGGACTAAAAGTTGCTTTTTTTGCACATGGTTTCTATCTGCTGCCCCAAGCAATGTCGCTTTGATAGAATCTCAGAAACATCAGATATGCAAAACAGAAGAAAACAATTAAAAAGAAGAGAATTCTGTTTGACAAACACAGAGGTATTTCTCTCCTTTTTACAGTTATTCTCTATCCAAGGGTACCATTTCCTCCCATTCTCTATAATGTAGCATTTTCAGCTTCTGATGAACAAAGACCCTGGAACAAAGCCATTGGTACAAACCAAGCATTTCAGTATAATAGGCAATCACCCAGGATGCATTAAAGCCCCTCCACATGTTTAAATTGCTCTGAATTTTTATATCATTTGTGATTCTAAGAAATCATTACCAAAAATGCCATTATGCTATACAGAACAGATGTATTTAGATGTTGCCCACAAATGATAATCTCACACCAACATTTTGCAAAACTTTCTTTTGGAATAGTTGAAAAGGGATGCTGATATGATTTTATCTTGGTTTTGGAGTAATAGGAGAGATTATGAATTTTCACTAATGATTATAAGTTAGTCACTTCTGATATAAGGTTAAAATATTCCTCGTATGTTTGTCCCATACTCTTGTGAGTTGAAGTCCTATGAAGTTTTGTCCTATATTTGTTACTAGTTAATCTAGAGGCATCTGTGTATAGTTAAAAATAAAAAAAAAGGGCAGTGGACTTGGAGTTAAGAGGCCTGTTTGCTCCAATATTACTTTGCTGTTTTGTCACAGAGAAGTCTCAATCTTTCTGATCTTAGTTTTCTCAGCTGTAAAGAGGGAATATAACATATCTCCCTGATATGAGGGAAACACAATTAACTTAAAAACAAACTTTAAAAGAATTACATAATTCTTAGTGGTTATTATATAACAGGCAACCCATGATTCTTCAGTTGGCCCTTCAGTGGAATGATAACATCTTACTTTGGTATAGCATTTTATAATTTGTAGAGAATTTTCTCATAATTTTCTTATTTTTTTTACAGGCAGCAATCTTCATTTTTTTTAAACATGACAATTGAGATTGAGAGAATTTAATAAACACCAAATAATTATTAAATGTTGTATATTCAAAGCTTTGTATAATCTTAGATTTGAAGGGATTTCAAAGATCATTTCATCCAACCCCTTGTTTGTCCTCTATGCACTCTACAACTGGTCATTCAGCTTTTCCTTGTAGAATTCCAGTGTTGGAGAACTCCCTAGATCCCAAGGCTATCAATTCTATTTCAGGGCAGCTTTAATGATTAGATAATGTTTCCTTATATCAAGGTAAAATTGACCTTTTGACAACATCTTATCCTTTGTTCCTAGTTATGCCCCAGGTGACCAAACAGAGCAAGTGTATTCTCTCTTCCCAATTACAACCTTTCAAGCATATTTCAATGAATACCATATCCACTTAATTCCTTCTTTCATAGATTCTGCAGAATCTATGGCAGAACATGACATCACTAGCACTTCCCTGCTTTGTTTCACTATGCTTCTGTTAAGGCAATCTGGATTTACCTTATCATTTTGGGTTGCTGTATCTTAAAATTATCTGATATTAAGGTTGCAGTCTCCAGGAACCTTTAATTCTGTTTCATATCTCTAGTCATACCTCTCCCTATCACTTATTTCTGCACTGATTTTTGGGGAAGATTTAAGTGTCAAGCATTATATGTATCCCTAAGAAATTCCATGAAATTCCAGTCCACCCCTGTGAAACCCAATGCTCTGTATTGAAAGAATCTGTTCAGTTCCCGATTTGGACACTAGCTATCCTTCTGAACTTTGTGTCATCTATGAATTAGATAAACATACTATCATTCTCCCTAGTAATCTGGAAAGTAGAGTAGCACCTCTCATCTAGTACATGTATTTCTCCAGTATGGAAACAAACCTGCATTTTGTGCATGCATAATTGTTCCTTGACATTGACAGAGGCAAAAACATTATCTAGCAGGGCATAATGCCGATAGCACCGGACTTACAGTCAGAAGAGGTGAACTTAAGTTCCAAGTTACTTACTTTGTGACTTTTGCCTAGTTACTTAACCTCTATCTACCCTAGTTTCCTATTCTACTTGCATTTTTCATCAACATTATTCCAGTGCCTTTGGCCTTTAATCTCCTTGTCCAATGCTATTTTCATGACATTCTCCTAATAAATTGCCTTAGCCAGCAATTATACCCTGTCCTGGTCAGTGAAGACAGCAGACCTAGGAAGGAGGTGACTCCAAAAGAGCGAATATCTGATAGGTCTAGCATCATGGAGCTGTATAGAATAGAATCAGTTTGTGCCACAAATACAGTAGAGCTTTGATTTACTGGTCTGCTCATTCCTAGGATACTTTGATTCCCCTGGATGATTTGCTTTGATTAGAGTTAAACTCCATGAACCTAGTCCAAATTGTTCTGAGGACTATGAATGACGCTATGGTCTAGTTCTGCTATTAAGGTATATATACCTTAGTTAGAAACATAAATGGCCAATGTAACAATCATCAGGGGCTATCTTTTGCCTTTCTTGGTAATCCCCAGTGCTTTGCATAGAATCTGACATAAAGTTGGTGCTAAAATGTCTATTAACTGATTAACCAATCACATAATCACTGATTTAGGCCTGGGAGAGACTTCTGAGACTGTCTAATCTAAAAACCTCATTTTAAAGATGAGGAAATAGTGATCAAGCTACTTCCCAAGATGGTGGCAAGACAGAATTAGGAAGAGCAGTAACTGAGGTATTGATGAAGTTTAAGGTATAGCCCAAGAAAGTTGGGGTGCCACCAGAAATGATGGATTAAAGACATGTGGGTTCTAGTGTCCTGAAAGAAATTCATTTGGACAATTCTCCAAGTTAAAGAAAGGCATTATGGGGGTGACACACCCAAGTGGGCTTTCTCCTATAGAAGGCAGAGCACAGGCAGCAGGCCCTGCTCTCCTAAGGGAGGCAGAGTGGGCCCTGCTCCCCAGTGGGAGGCTGAGTCATTATTGGAGTTAGGTTTCTGGTCTATATACAGCTTGATGGGATAGGGGGAAGGGGAGGTGGGGCAGGCAGGGCTCCGGAATGCCTGGGATATCAGGTAGTCTGGAGGTGCCTTTATCATACAGGTAAGCAAGGAGAATTGGAAAGGGGGAAGGGGAAGACCACTTAAGGATGTTAAGCAAAGGGAACAGGAAAGGGGAATGGAGAGAGTTGTTCTGGAATGTCAGGTAAGGGGGTGATTTGTGAAAGCACACAGATAAATCCACTATGGGGGGCTTCAGCGCATAGTCTTATTTGGTCACTTTTTTTCTGGTTGGTCACATCCTGCATCTTATCTTATATCTCACTTCCTGCAACTGCTTGCTCAATCTGCCTCAAGCTCTCCATATACCTCATCAGTATGTTGCCCTAAGGATAGTGGTACTTTTTCTAGCACAGATAGGATCTCCTTCCTTTGGTGGTCTGTCACTGAAAGGTGACAATTAGGGAACAGAGGAGTAACAGGGAGGCCCATTCTATTTCCCCTAGGGCAAGCCCACTCCTTCTGGCAGGTCAACTAACAGAAAAAAGTTTACTTATCTGCTCTATAAGATGTATAAAGTAAAGAGGCCACACCTGTGATCAGAATGTTTTCCTTTTGAGGTAAATCCAACCAATGCTGTGTCCTGAAGTCAGGTCTGCCTACTTGGAATTCTTTCCTGATCTCAGTGTTTAACAAATGAATCTTCAATGTCAGGCATCCCCCTAAGTTCATTAAACATTCATAGGGAAGGGTTTCACTTTACAATTGTTTAACAAGATGTGAAACAGATAGTCTAGTGAAGCAACATGATATTCGGGAAGCAGCATGATTGCTGATAGTGTGAAACTCGAAAGTCTGGATTCTGACCTAGAGAAATAGGAAATCTTGTCATCTTCGAAGGGATTCTGACCTTCAGATGGCCAGGAGAATGA